AAAAACCTAAGGTTATTAGACACAATAAATGTTCCTTAGGCTCATTTAAAACTCCCGATGCTCGTTTCGACCATGTTCATCTGGATTTGGTGGGACCTTTACCAGATTCAAATGGATATTCTTATCTCCTAAACTGCATAGACCGTTTCACTCGATGGCCAGAAGCAGTACCTATCAAGGACATCACTGCTGGAACAGAGTCCCGCATCTTCGTCGAACGATAGGTAGCAAACTTCGGTTGCCCTTCAACCATCACAACAGATCGCGGATGCCAGTTCGAGTCTGAACTCATGTTATGTCTGGCCGCACTATTGGGAATCACTCACTTCCGAACGACCGCCTACCACCCACAAGCAAACAGGTTTGTAGAATGCCTTTACCGACAACTCAAGGCTTCACTGTCAGCTGCAAACGTTTCACAATAGACCGACGCTCCTCCACTCGTCTTACTAGGTATCCGCGATGCAGTGAAAGCTGACATTGGATACACTGAGGCTCAACTGGTTTATGGAACGACACTTCGACTTCCAGGAGAATTCGTGGATCCTTCATCCTCTTCAATGAACATGGATCTAACCTCCTACAAGAACAGGCTTACAAACGCAATGCGTTCAGTTAAACCTGCTTCCACTCGACCACAAACCACCGATGTTTTCGTCCAACCTGACTTACAATATAATACACACGTTTTCGTTCGTCGAGACGCACATCGACGACCATTCGAATCAGCATACGAAGGACCTTTCAAAGTTCTTCAACGCGAATCTAAGTACTATATAGTCGATAAGAACGGAACCGACGATAGCATCAGCTCAAAGCTGCTTAGTTAGAGTGAAATCTTATTCACATCGATTTTCCTTCGGTACAATCGAACGACACGGCTCCGACATTCATAATACCTCATCCGACAGCCAACACGCACAATGATACTTCGACAGTATCTAAAAATAAACTTAAAGAACGCGTTCTGGAAGAAGAGTAAGAGCATCACCACACTATTTCTAGAATTAGCCCCAACCTCGGGCCCATCTAACCACTTCGTTTAAGTGGACTTGGAGATCAAAATGATCAGTCCTAACTTTTATTGTTCGCCAGATTTTTACCTCATCCGCAACGGTGACAATTTACTAATGTAGAGAAAGAAAAGTAGACGGCCTCAGGTGGTGCCTTGGGGTACAAAACTTATGACCGGCTACCATTCGGATAGCGTTCCATTGACCCTCATATTCTGTCTGCGGTCACCTAAGAAATTTCCTATCCATTCCTGTACAGCACCTGTTATTCCGAAGCTGGAGAGCTTCTGCATAAGACTCAAGTGTGATACCTTGTCAAATGCTTTGCTAAAATCTATGAATATAACATCGATAGACAGACCGTTATCTAGGGCTTCTGTCCAATCCTCTCTCCCAATACGTTAGTCAAGCATGAACTCATGTTATGAAATCCATGTTGCTCAGAAGTAATCAGGTTGTGCGAATCTATGTGACTCAGTGACTTAACGCGAATTATCTTTTCAAGTAACTTAAAGACTATGCTGGTTAGACTGGCAGGTCGGTAGTTAGATACGATCTGTCTCGGATCATCCTTAAATATTTGTCATTCACTATATGATCGACAATACCTAGATTATCAGTGAAACATTAGAGACTATGAGTGGGTTTCAGTAAGTTAATTGATCTAAAGATTAATACTTATCGGGTGACCTATAATACCTATTGCGGTAGACTGAAAATATTTAAATTGAAACATCGTGTGTCTTTCAAGTTTGTACGCTACGTCCTATGGCAAATATTCCGCGTTTTGGGGTTTCTGCTAAGTATAGAGGAAAAGGTTAACTAAAAATTATAATCTTGATCTTCCATTTAGTTGATACTGAAGAGACTAACACGACTAAGAGCGGTTCACGTTATTTTTCCGGTTCATCAACAAACTCCCATACTGGTAGTTCTCGGGCTGAAGATGTTAGTCGATCAGACAGTGTTTACAGCTCGGTGAGATATTTATCGTTGGTCTCTTTGTTATCTTCAACTTTTTGTCTGTATAACGAGAGAAAACCATATGATGTGTGCAAGTGAACAGTATAAACCCAAACAACCAAAAAGGGGAAATAAAGTCGAACAAAGGGGAAATAAAGGGGTAAATGCTTTAAAAGAGAAAGGGAAAATAAAGGGGTAAACACATCAGAATGTCGCTTTTTTCGAATGTCCGGGGGAAAGGCATTAATGCTTTTTTGGAAGTTAATCTAAAATGTTGATCTGTCGTTTCGTTCTCGCAAGTGCTTGCCTTAAAGGTTAATAACGACTAATTCATCGAACTCGAGTGATTTCACAATTTTTCAGTCGGCTACAGTAAATATTAAAATGACATTTAGTAAATTTGAGGTTTTTGTCAATATTAACTAATCATCGAAATCCGTTAGGGGCTGTAGCTTGGCATTCCACACTCAGAATTAGTTTGCTGGTTCATGTGTCTACAGATCGAATGCATTTAGGTGGCAATTCATGGGTATTCACTAAGGCTCTTTAAGCATTTGAATCAGGTTTACAGGACTGTGGTGGCTGCCCCAGTAATATGGTTATCTTAAGAGCTAAAAACGTTTGATTGAACGAATTTTCGCCTCCATTTCGGCCGTTTTTGTTTTCAATTTAGCTTTTCAGCCACTGAAGGGATAGTGTTAACCACAACGTCCAACTTAAGTGATGGTTTTTTCGGGTATCTATCATACATTCACTTCATTTTCTTATACTTCAAATGATGAAAGTACGAAATTGTTCTCTTTCTCTTTGTGCTTCATGCACAAAACCACTAGTCAGCTTAGTGGTCCGTCTATATCCATCGACTTACTCATTGAAAGTTGATTTACATGCACAGGTAAAATGAACAATTGTTAGGTTTTTCAAATGGGTTCATAACCCACTACTGACTGTGCACTATTTATTATCTGACGAAAATTGCATGAACATGGAAGACAGCACTGACCATTGGCATATACTGTGATAACTTTTATCTAAATTAATTATAACATCTTGGGTGTATCGTTAGGGAGATTATGGGTCTGAATGACTTTGGTCACCAATAGTTAGTCAAATGTAATGTCAGTGTACTTTATACTTTTGTTTCGTCCTAGAAATCAAGCCGACGTCGTATGTGCAACGAAGCCAGTCTTATTTTGTCTGTCTAATTGGATGTCTTTACAATTAGTTTCTGATATTTATCGCATTTGTTTATATTTTTGAATTCTCAAGTAAAACATCATTTTCGAGACAAAAACACAGAGGCTAATGGTTTCATTTAGAAGAATCATATTGCGTACCCATTGCCAGTAGACCCTCGAAACTGGCTTATGCGTAGTAAAACTAAGTTTCTGTTTCAACTCTTTAATCACTAATTTTGATCAATTATAACTTGATGATTAAATGAGGACTTCATCTAACTTGATTTTCATGTGCTGCCAGTCTTTGTCACCTCATCAAATTAAGGAATTACAAGCCTGTTATTTTTTACTATTTAGTTTAGTTGTTTCTGATATTATGTATTGATACCCAAAATCACTCACAATCACATGAATGTTTGCGCTTTATCTTGTGAACATTTCGTAATTATTTACTTTCTGTTTCTCCATATCATTCGTTTTTCGGTGTATTTTTTGTTTCTCGTGTACTACTGTTGTCCCGTATTTTTTATCTATTTAAAGATCCCCGTCATATTTTTTATCTTTTGGTTTTTCTCTTATTGATCTCGTGTCGAAATAAGATTTAGAGGCTTAGACTGGTAAACATTTTTCTAGGTCTTACACCGTTAGCTTCTATTCGCAGGATATGAATCAAATCTCAGTTGTTACCACAAATAATATGATCTTGTGGTTCATAATATTAGTTTATTTGAAACAGAAGTTTTCCAAACTAGCTGTAAGGATGTGTGATGATACTTTTTCGTAGGGAAGTTCCTGTGGTCATCTTATCTCACTATTTATAGGTCGCGTCATTAAATTTAGATGGAGTTTTGTAGTTCTTAGCAAAAATCCCCTAGGGAAGGATCTTTCGGGTTCAATTTCGTCTTATTTTTTAGAAAGACGATGAAACATCCTTTAGCTAAGTACTCATAATAATTTATTTGAAGTCAACTATTTATAATCCGTATTTAGTTATGATTTTGTGTGATAAGGTTTACAATGACTGTTACTTATCGAATATAATAATAATCAGGTATAAATAAATAAACGGAAGCATTTTATTCTTATCCACGAATCGGAAAAGGAAGTTTCATAAGGTCGCCCATGTATCATAGAAAATTGATAACGATTAGTAATTATAAGAAAGGAAGGATGTAAAAGTATTGTCGGTCAGTTAAATGCAACGTAGAATTTGGCACATGTGTACATGGGTCCAGGTTGCCACATCCTATTAGCTTTGCGAAATGAAATCGTGGTGAATCCAGTGGTAGTAGGGTTAGTAAGTCTTAATGACAATACAAAAGATCAGGCATCCAAGATACACTTCAAGAGAATATGGGCTTAGTAGAAATAAAAATGTTTCGCAAGGCAATTTAGAAATTCAAGTTCCAAGTAAGGACGGAGTAAATGCGCCTGCGTCATTTTGAGCGATTCTGAGCAACGAGACCCAAAGTCTGACCATTAATTACAAAATTTACTCGGATCCTAACCGGGTAGTTCGAACTTATGTACATGACCTAGTCCAACACGATCTCCATGAAGTGATGCAAAATTTAGTTTGATCACTCATAGTATCCTTCCGACCAACTACTAAACTAACCGTCATCGTGCATTGAGGCAGTCAGTGAATGAGCACACATAATCCATGTCCTAACCGTCCCATTCAAAAAAAGATTTATTACCTTTTCAATCGATCTGTCATACCTCACTAGCACTCCGCGTCTAACTTCAGGACTGCTGACTCGATGGTCGCAGCATATATGAGCGTCTTCACCAAACTAGGCTAGAACGATCGTAACTTTGTATAATTGGAAACTACCACTTTCCCATCACTTTAATAGGCTGATAATGTTGCAGAAAGGTGGTGGTATTTTAAGCTATGTTCAAAAAGGGAACGAAAATGGCGAGATTCTTTTCGCACACAATTTGGATTCCCCTACGTGCATAACAGGCTTCAAGAATGCAAAAGTGACAGAACCTTACTACCTTTTGAAGATCTATGTTGACGTTGTAGAAAACTTTAAGTAATCGGCCTGTTTTGCGTGAATGATTTATTTTCACGATGTATTCCATCATTGCTTCTCTTTTGTAATCATACACATCAATGTTTCTGAACCCCCATCCAGAACACAGATGACTGGTTTATCGAGTTCTATAAGAACAGGGGGATTGATAAGTGGACATTGGAGTAGTCAGATGTAAGAGCTCGTCTTTTATTTCATTGAAGGACCTTGGCTTCCAAGTTACCACAAAGAAGGTTTTAGAGGGATTTGTAATGCTATTCTTTAGGATTTCTGCAGTATTGTCACGCTTAAAGTTAACACTTATGTTGAGCGCATGTTTCAGTACATAGATAACTTATTTTCTAGGTTTTGTACTTTTGTTGACAAATTCTGATGAATATCTACTTTTGCCCGATATTTTCTAAACAGGGCTAGCTTTTCTACGACCTCAAGATTGCAGACTTTACGGATTCATATAGCGAGAGGTGTAGTCAAATTATTCCTCATATCGGTTGAGACCTTGGTATAAAAGATTGCTTAATGATCTTTCCATCCAGGTCTTCTGTAGATTGCTCTGTGTAAAAATCCTTCACGTTTCTTTATCACCTCATGGCATCTAGAAAGTTGATGTTCTGTCTGTTTTTCACTCTTTAAGTAAGTTTAATTGCTAGGTGAAGGCTGTTGAACATTTAAAAAAAATACAATTCAGGTTGCACATCGTAAATAATCGTAGCACCATCTACGTACATTTTGTATGGATAAAAATCGCTGATAGTGGGTTTCAATTGGCATTTTCTCAGAATAGCCATAAGCCAGATTGCTAGCAATGAAACTAAAAGAAAACCTTTGATAGTCTTTTTTCAATCGTGTGGATAAGTACAACATGCTTCTGAAGGTTTTTTCGTTTTCATCCCGCCTTTATTCTTGGTAAGTAGTAACTTAGAGAACTTATTATGGATTGTCGTTGTCTAAATAGTATATATACACAATTGTACAACTGAGAAGATTAAATCCTCAAGGGGTAGACCGCTTGGCTGAAAAATTTCCGTTTTTATCTTCCTCACTACTTTTTTCTGTGCATTCAAAATGTCGTTGAACTTAAAGAAAGTGATGCTAAGCCCAAATAATAGTTGAACTTTTAATGCGACGGGACGAATTATTACAGTTGTGGTACATTTTAGAATTCTCGACTGTGTTGTGTTCTGCGCTCATTATAGTGGCTGACCCATCTCAAGAAGTAAGGCTTTCACATCAAAATCGTATCGTTCATCATTTATTACTTGTTTATTGTCTAGTAAGTGTTCTTACTTCGTTTTTAATTCGTTTAAACCCTCTCTAGAGATATTACACAAATTCGTCTTTTATAATAACTTAAGTATCAGTAAACCTAACAAGATGAAATTCCTTTGTCAACTAATATGGGATTGTAAGTAGACTTTCTTGTGAATAACAACCATTTTGCACAAGCGATCTACAATTTTTCAAAAATAAGGTCTTACTGTGTTGCACTTGATATTATTCTTATTAAACCTCTCAAGCAGTTAGAGTTCATCCTCAACTATTAATTGTTCATTTTTACATGAAAATAGCTACTCTAAAAAATGAAATGTATAGCTAATTCATCTTATGATGCTTTTGCAAATAATATTTATTTCGAATAGTAAGGTGGATTAACGTGTTGCGCGATAATTTAACCCCCGTGAGTTACGTTAACTTAAACAAGCTTTGTCATAGCGAACCAATATATAAAGACAAGTAGTACATCAATCGTTTCATCATTTACATTTGTGCGTGGTGCATCCACATGTCATGAAACACTCTTCTAAGTGTAGCCAATCAGTTTCTAGCTAAAAAACCTGTTGTGAATATTAATGAGATTAGACTATTTACCATTTTCACACACATCATAATCATATTCATTCTTACTACTTTTCTCATGTTTCAACCACCAGAAGACAATCATTCTTTCGTTTCTCTATCAAGCATACAATCAAGAGCGTCCACTCTAACCAATAATTCACGTAGAAGAAACAAGTTTCCTCATCGTATTATTGATAATTTTCAAAAATGGGCTTTTAAATCGTCCAGTCAAAAAACGTCTCACACTTCAAGTATTTCTTCATTAAACTCAAGTCATTTACCAAATGATAACGAATTAAGTGACAGCTGTGACTTAACTTCTTTCACCATATCTGAACGCGAAGAAAGCATTGTATCCGAAGTAATTCGTAACCGTAAGCAACTAGAATCCTTGGTTTGTGGTCATTCTGATTTTGTTCGCAATCACGACTCATTATCTATCGATCCAGGTATAGTTGTAGTTCTCTCTAACCATCTTAGGCGTTGTTCATTGTTATATATCGGCTTTGGAAATGGCTGAACTGGAATTAAGAAGCCAAGTTCCTTTAGATTCAAATGGAATGTTGAAAATAGAACAAGTTAATCATTCCAAGAATAATCTGGGTCGGATACTGAGTGTTCGTAACCCATATCGAAGAATGAGACTACTTAGCCCCTCCCCATGTGTTTTGGCCCCAAATGGAAGAATTTCAAACTCAGTAAGATGTACCAAGTTACCAAATCAATATTTTTTATTTACTACAACTATTATTCTGAATCATAAATTTTTTCTTTTTCCGGAATAGAATATTGAAGAAGATGCGCGACTGGGGTTTGCAAATCTACCTGAACAGATGCACAGGAAAGCTGTCAAGAAGGGCTTCAATTTCACTTTGATGGTTGTCGGTGAGTTAATTTAATCCGGCACTTGCGATGTCCATACCTTATGACAAGGATATTTTTCATGAATTTAGTATTGGGTTGTATAGCTTTTTCATGTTTAGTCTTCATAACAATTGACTGTGTTCATTTTAGTCTGTAAAATCAACTTACAATCAAAGTTACCTACTCATTCACTGCACAATCAACATTTCTTTTTACACATCTACGGTTACATTTATCGTCAGTATCATATTTCGGTATAGTCTTGTTGTTGAGTCTCAAGTGCTATCTTTACATCACCTCTTTAACTATTAACGAACACTTTAGAATCTCAAAAAAATACTTGTTAGCGTTGTTTTAAACCATACACCTAGCTAACGCATTATTTTGTATTGATTCGAAGACATCAGCTGTTATTTTGGAGGGGGTTTATGAACGAATTCCGGGTTTTTAAAACAAATGAATAGAATATTCGTCGTGTAGATGATATGGAATGATCGAACGTGACCGATTGTTGGTTGCTCATGAGACCAGATTATTGATTCAGTCTCCTGAATGAACTGATATAAAATACAAGACAACAGGTATAGAAATTTTGAACACAACAATAAATATGATTAGACGTTAAGACATTCAACTTTCAATCACTTTGTCCACTTCTGTTTAGGGTAAACGCATTTACAAGATGCTGCTGGCCACCTAATAGTTAACTCTCAGTTTTCACTCTTTAAATAAATTCATCTCCTACCCAGAGATTTAATACCTTGAGGTACAAAGACAACACAGACCTGTTTTTTAAAGATATAATTTGATGATACAGAAATATTTCATCAATTTTAGTGGATTGATAGGAAATAAACTCTCGGAACACTCGCCTGACTTTTGTAAGTATAAGATCCCAAAGATTTAGCGATGTCCATCTACCATGACAGATAAGTCTGTAAACTTTAATCTGCTTAAGTAATCAGAAGATATTATTTCGCACAACTAATCATCGCCTTCTGGTTAACGTACACTTTAATTAAAGAAAGGTTTTTTATCAACCCCTAACTCCACTGACTTTCAATGTTAGCCGGTCCATGTGTCGAGTTTAACCGTACAGATCTGTCAAGCAACTGTAATCAGTGGGATATGAGTCGAAGTCGGTTATGGTGGTCAGATTCACACACTTTTAATCTTTATCGTTTAAAGTTGTTATTCTAGAGACCCGCTTCTCTAGCCTTGTCTCTTTTTCATTTGCATTTTCAGTTTTCCAGTGGCATTGGTATGACTATTTTCAGTCATATGCCTTTCTCCTCTTGATTTTCCATTATAACACCCGTAATCTGTACTCATTTTTACCAGGTTTTTACTTTATTCGTGGATCTATCTAATTTATACCATTTTTTATACCCTTTAAAACCTATAATTATCGCATTTTTATATTACTGTTATATGGTGACTGACATAAATTAATTCGATTGATTTCTAAATGCTGCTCTCAGGTGAAAGTGGTTTGGGCAAATCAACACTAATTAACAGCTTGTTTGTCCAAGATTTATACAAAGATAAAGAAATTATTGAAGCAAATAATCGTGTTCAAAGCACAACTCAAATTGAAAAACGTCAAATTGAATTGGATGAGCGTGGAGTCAAGTTACGCCTTACTGTTGTCGATACTCCCGGCTTTGGTGATGCTGTGAATTGCAATGACTGGTAAGTTTATCATGTATGTAATTTTAGTTTACTTCTATGTCAAACTCTTAACGTTAGTATAATAGAATATGTGATACATTTCTTAATGCTACCGCCATACTATTATTTTGTTAAATTAAATAATATTTAGTGACTGACAACTTGATTTGTTCTTTCTCTTATTATTTCCTTTCTATAATATCAAGTTTAAGAACTTTCATTATAGACTAAGATTAGCTAGAGAAGTGCATATATCAAGCAGTGCTAGACTGTTCTTTCACCCATATTCGATCGAACACAAAGCCTTTATGCCTCATGAATATCACAACTACCAAGTCCATCCTATATTATGCGGGCAACAGAATTTCACGAAAGTTAAGAAAATCCATGTCCATACACTAGTAAATACATAATTATTTAGTATGTTCCTCTGTGGAAATTTTCTGAAAATCCAGCTTCATGATATGCTGAAACCAACCGGTAAACTCATTGTATTTTTCCTAATACTGAGAAATCTAAAACTCAGATAAGTCGATTCTCCGCTGTTCTTCCTGGTTTTCATTACTTATCTAGATAACATCAATCTGTAAGATTTTTCCATAAACAATGTATCTAAATGTAAGTTTTAAAATTGCGTAGGGTTCGTTAAAATATAATAATAATATTATATATCATTTCATCCAAATAATTTTAATACTTTTGGTAAGTAATTGAGCACTTTTCAAGATGCTGATCGTTTCGAAGGTTTGTTTGTGGATCACTTATACATTTTATTATTCAAACTTCTAGTTAGAACTGATAATTAACACTGATTGCTTTTCCTTTTTCAATCTATATTATAAAACGACTGTTTATCTGAGATGTGTTTAAAACTTGTGTTAACCTTTTGTTTTGTACTTTTTCTTAGTTGGAAACCAATAGAAGATTACATAGACAGCACATTTGAACAATATTTTAAAGATGAATGTGGTCTGAATCGTAAAAATATTCATGATCATCGAGTTCACTGTTGTTTGTATTTCATATCACCATATGGTCATGGGTAAGTAGATGAACTTTATTTGTTAATATATATATATATATATATATATATATATATATATATATATATATATATATATATATATATATATATATATATATATATATATATTGAATTCGTACCAGTTACCGTTTTTCTAACCTGACATGTTCATATAATCTAGCAGTTTTCATTAACAAAATGTAGATTCACTGTTCTGTAGTATCATTTTTTATTGTATTTCTGTACATTGGTAGGATTGAATGATTGTTTTTGTTACATAACCAAAGCTTGAGGTTATATTAGGTGAATACTTAAGTCATTTGCATATGTAAAATCATGTGATAAACACTAACTTACTTGCTAACATTCTTGTTTATAAGTTTATATATACGTAGCTATCATTTAGTTAAAAAAATAATTGATTTAGTATTAATGCAGTGTAGAAATGTTGTCGAATTGTCAGTTCATTAAGACTAGTTCTAGTTATATTTCCAAGCTAAAATCACTCTTCTGAGTTCATTTTCTTTTATTAGTTCGTAATAGGTTGATAGAAAAGCTTGCATGATATTGAAGTTATTCATAACTTTCCAATTAAACCAAACTATGGTATAGAAATTCTCATCATAATGTATTTTTTTAAAGGAATTTATTGTTAACCTTTTGAGCTATGAGGAATATTTGTTGTGAGCACAAATGAAATTAATAACTGTCAGACATAAACAGTGAAATATTATGATTTTAGTATAACAAGAGGAGATTTACAAGAAAATAATCTAGCTATTTTTAATGAATATAAACGAAGTTATTTTAAAATTGTAACCGATTATTTCAAGGCTATAATCATGACTGTGTATTAATTATTTGATAAATTTGTTGCGAAATATTTGATACACTATCGTATGTTGATTATTATTTAACATGAATTGAAAGTTAATCAGAAATTGAATTATTTCACTGTTTATAACTAGAGTAAATTTCTCTAAACAAATAACTAGAGAGAAGGAGAGAATAGTCAAAAGTTTTGAGAAATCTCTTCCTTCTTTGTGTATGTTAACGATTAATGGTTCAAAGTATAATTAAAAACTAAAAATTTAGAGAATGGATCTTCTTTTTGTAGGGATTCATTAACAAACTGTACAACTGTATATGAAAATTTAAGGATTACCCCCGTAAAGAAATATAAAACAATAAAATAAACATGGTGATGCAATAGTAGAATTTTAATACTAAATTATATAATGCAAATAGTAATACGATTTTGTGTAACTTCTACACAATGTGCACAAATTAAGTATAATTGTTTATCTTCTTCGGTTTTACATGAAAACTAGAAAAATTACCACAAACTTGTACACCCGATTTCAGTTAATTTACTTAACGTTCAAGTCGTTCCCTATCCAAGTGTTTAAGACAAGATAGCCAATTAAGTATCCAGGCCATTAAAGAACTTATCATTTCAATATTGTTGTTACTTTCTTGACCTATTTTAATTCCCGTATATTGATGTGAGAAATTTTTTAATTTTTTGTTTTGATTCAATTTAGTTTACGCCAAATAGACGTTGAATTTATGCGCCGTCTTCAACATAAAGTCAACATAGTCCCTGTAATAGCTAAAGCTGATGCATTGACTGCTAATGAATTACGTGCATTTAAAGAACGCATAATGGCAGATTTTGATCGTTATAAAATTGATATTTATCGTTTACCTGAATGTGACAGTGATGAAGAGGATGAAATCAAACGTTTAGATAAAGAAATTAAAGTTAGTTTAACATTCATTCATTTGCGTGGTAGTTCTGTCATAGTAATCGATGTTTGAGGCAATAATTTTTTTCTACCCAGAACGTGTCCTGACAAAATACTAATTTGTGTATAAATGACTCTAATTGTTAAGGGACTTTTTTAGCCACATAATCTTCAACTGAAGAACAATTGTTGCTTCTTTCTAGTTTGCGACTCCTCAATACTATGACAGCTGAAATCTCAATTGGCCCGTGTATTTCACCGATTCTCCAGTTGATAATCGATTCCTGAATGAATCTCATTAAATTACTTGAATAAACCCTAGATTCTACGTTGATTAGGACTGACCTATAAACTACAAATATATGATCACTATTCGATTCTAACATTTAATTTCCTTATGATTGATAATAGTTCGTGTAAATTTAAAAAAAATTAGATTTTGTAGACAACTTATGTTTATATTCACACATTTGTTTGCATAAGATATTACAGATTCAAAGTTACTAAAGCTTGCTTGAAACGTTCCAAGGTCCTTAAAATCGGTACTAGAAAATAAAGTGTTTATATTTATCCAAGCTTATCTATTTGATTTCTTCATGAATCATATGTCTAACAACTTCAAAGTATCAGTGCTATACATTTACTATAAATTTATTGCCTCTTTTAAGAGTAATTAGGCTAAAATAACTTCTTATATATGAAAATTATGATAAGAAGACCAGACAAGTCTGCTGAACAAAACTTTGTTATTGCTTAAATGCCAATCGACGAGATTATTTCAAATATAATTTCCACATATAATGGCTTCTCGATACCTAGCGCCCAATTTTTGTCAAAATATTCGTTCTAATATTGACGAATATTCGTATAAAATAACTTCTATTGTTGCGATGTGAAGTTGCATTTCTCACACTCTAAATAGTTATCTTTTTTTCCGAATAGGCTGTTCTACCTTTCGCTGTCGTCGGCAGTAATTGTGTTATCGATTTAGATGGTAGTCGTCGAGCTCGTGGTAGACAATATCCTTGGGGGTCAGTTGAAGTAGAGAATAGTCGTCACTGTGATTTTACAAAGCTGCGTATATTTCTGCTAAAGTAAGAATACTATTGTCATTTGTATTCCAAAGTCAGTTCACTTCCCATACTTCTTTAAAATTTATTGATACTGATTTCTTTGACGTATTGTTTACTATGAATATGACACACTACTATCGGTACCAGGAAACGTTTCCAACAAAGTGTTGATGAACCGGATGGAAAGACTCAATCGACGCACAACTTCGAGATCAACAGGCTGGATTTCGCAAGGATCGGTCGTACACAAACTAAATCGTGACACTACGGAACATCGTTTAACAATCAGTTGAGTGGAACTCGTCATTATACATCAGCTTCCTTGATTATGAGGAAGCATTTGACAGTGTGGATAGGAGAACACTATGGAAACTTATTCGACACTATAGTGTGAGTAACTAAGAAGATCGTCAACATCTTCCGGAATTCATACGACGGATTACACTGCAAAATGGTGCATGGAGGACAGCCGACAGACGCATTCGAAATGAGGACCGGAGTCAGACAAGGCTACTTACTCTCCTCCTTCCTCTTTCTTCTGGTGGTCGACTGGATTATGAAAACCTCGACATCTGAGGGAAAACACAGAATGAACAGGTTGGATGCAACTAGACAATTTGGCTCTTCTATGCCATACACACGAATAAGTGCAGATGAAGACAACTAGTGTAACAGCAGCTTCTACATCAGTAGGCCTCAACATACACGAAGGAAAAAAGCAATATCCGGGGTTACAAGCGTAAGTAAGTAAGTAAGGCTTATTACCAAAAGTATGTATACTTAATATAAATAAAGGCAATTATGTTAACCTATGGCATCACAGAATCTAGCATGAACGACTAAAGATTCACATCAAACCTCGAATTATTACGATTGGAAGAATGGTAGTGTTATCCATCTCAGAGGACAAAACTCCATCATGATCATCCATGTGAGCTACAAATCTTGTCCACCATCTCAAAAAGGTATTATTTACTGTTTACTCTAACGGAAACAGTAAAAAAGGAATAACGGGAGATTGAAAAGTACGTAATAAAGATACATTCAAGATCTAGAAGACAATAAATGACCAATTACGGTCGACTTTGGGCCGTTTCATCCATAAATTGATCACCTTGGTCAAATTTACTAAGCATACGAAATTATAATACATACGTACAAACAATGTATGGTTCGGTAATAGAACTGAGAAACAATGAGTCCATTACAATTTATTTAGTCGATTATATTTTCCTTTTTTATTTATTATTACCATTTAGTCAGATTTTTTTCACGAGCAGAGAAATTATTGGTGTTTCATCAAAAAGTTGCTTTTTTTGACGACAGACTTTGTTTTATTCATTGTTATTCTCTTTAAAATTAATTTTAGGACACATATGCAGGATTTAAAAGATATGACATTGGATGTGCATTATGAAAATTATAGAGCGAAATACATTACTGAACGGATGTCTAAGCGTCAAAGCGATCGTCGTGAAGGTGTTGGTACTGGAGCGTATGTTATTCATTTTAAAAACAATTCACTTATTTTATTTATTCGTATTCCTTAATTCAGTCATCCATAAAGTTTGTGTTGTATGACAAAAATTCCTAACTGGAATAATTCATTTTCAACATTTCTAGCCCGATTAAGGACAAAGCATTTGATTTCCACTCACGATATTATACACTTGACAGTATCCGTACTGTTTTTCTCATATGTTTGTTGCTTTTTCACATTTCTTTACTAATAGTCGGAGGTCTTTCTGGACATCTATCATCAACTTTCCATTACCTTTTTATACCAGATATATTGATGGTACTTATTGTTTCTTTGTAATGTACATCTTTCGTGGTACGGAAGTAAAATTTCGTAGTAAATATTTTTACTTCCCATATTCAATTATAGGCTTATTTAGTGGATTGGGGTTTGTTTGTTGGTTATTCAAATTGTTATTGTCGTATATCTTTCCGATTTTAAGTATTTATGGCTTGTAGTTGTATTATTTAAAACCTTCGGTGTTATATTTAAGTTTCGCCCAATCAAAATTTCGCTGATCTCTTCAATCTATGGACTTTTTTTCAATATGAAGGTCTTACTTTGAAAACATGGTGTAATCGTTTTTTCAAAATCACAGCCAGTTACCTTGAACTAAGAAGCTTACATTTACGTTTTAGAAATCTGTGTATATTGTCGATTCTCACATTGTGATAAATCTCCTCCGAAAAGTGCTTTCAAGTTCAATACTTAAATATATACAATCTGTGTTAATGAGCAAGTTTACCCCATCTAACTTTATCACAGAAAAATTTTTAAAAATGCAAGATTTGTCTCATATCAGTAAATTATAAGTGATTTCTACTGGATTCAGGTTGCTTTTTTATGATGCCGCACTTATAATTTTACACAGTTCAGGGGTGCGCTACTTGTTTTGTCAATGTCAGCCTCTTGTTTCCTATGAATTGTCATCATTCTCTTATCATTTCAATTTACTGACTGCGTTAAAGAGAATTTGATGGGTTCTCTTAAGGATAATGAACTTCATTTTGTGGTGCGATTCGTATGTTGGCTTCACTTTTTCGCTCTGTATGTTATCATTTATTTGTATCAATGTTTTTTGATGGGTTTCAGTCTTAGAATTATTTTCTTTTACCTTCTAAACCTACTCAAACATTGTTTAGTAGTATAGCAATTGTTGTAGTTGATAAAATATAATTGTGTAGATTTTCATGTTTGAATCGTGGTCAGTGGCCTATGCTCTTCCATGAGAGGTAACAGGCGTAAATAAATAAGTAGATTGGGTCTTAATGTTTCATTTGTGATTTATGCATCGTATAATTTGTACTTGTTCATATTTTTACATAAGTAAATCCTTTAAGATGTATCTTGGATTGAACTCAAGCTGTTTATGGAACAAACAAGTAAGCAACCTTGATTGTCTAAGACTAGTACTTTCTGGATAGGAATAAATATTTGCAAAACTCTCCATTCCGCTTGACGATCTGCTTCACTCTTTGGGAAACAATCGGAATTATCGAATATATATAGAGTATAGAATACTGAGGGAATCTTTAAAGCACTTTAAAGCACTGAGATTTTGCAGATAAAACTCATCTTTAATGTCCTCTATAAGTTTGATGCCTAAATTTTATGGTCCGATTCGTTTAAATTTAGATAAAGGTCCCCATAAATTTGTATCGTTTTTTTTGAATATTTTATTTATTATTTATATAGTTTCAATGGTAATAATCATGTAATATGCTCTCTTTTGTCTACTTGTTGATAGATTGGCAAGATTAGAAAAAGAAGGTGGAACTGGCTTTGAGGCTATTGTTGATCAAGATAGTTTACTGAAACAGAAAGAGGAAGAGGTGAGTCAATTTATAAACTTTTGTTGTGGTAACATATGCTGTGTTTGGACATGTTATTTCGCACTCTTTAAACTATAAGATTACTACCTTTTAAAAAAATGCAACATAATATTGTGATTCCTCACGTTTACAGTTTCCATAATATGCAATGTGAATTATTTCATACAAATATTTCCGAATTTTTTGAGCTCATGGTCTTGCTAATCCACAATATTTTTGTCATACATCATTATTCATTTATTTACGTCCGTCTTAATTCAAAGAAAGAACTTTTAAAATATCTTCACCGTACAGTATTCTGAATGTATGTGACATTAATTGTCATGGAGTTTGTGTGCTGAATTGTCGATGTTGCTCTTTTTAGTATCAATTATATCATTTGTTTAATATCTACATCAGCTTGAATTACTCAGTGTTCCTGAAGCGTCTTTACTTTAGTTCATATAAGTTATCAGTTTATGAACACAAACTTTACTACATAGGCACATAGTTAGCTGTTGTATCTTGATTAACTTCTGTTGTGTGATGGTTACAAGTACCATCTCAATGCCTATATCAAAGTAAGCAAAATGGGACTGAAACATACAGCCGAATCATTGTAATATAAATGGCAAAAATTTTAAATTATTTTTAATTTATTAGTGCTAACTCGTACTATGACGTAGCTGTTCTTGAATTCCTAACCACCAGTGGTGATGACTGACAGGAATTGATTGGAAGAAAGCTAATCGGAACTAAACTGAAATGGTGAAATCAATTCTCATAGTCATTGAATGTCTGACGCTTGTTGATAGTGACTGACTACCTGGCTAGAGTGAGAGCGATAATCGCGATTAATGATTAGGAACGTTGGATGAAGACCTAAGATCGACCACAATATTTAAGTCCAATTTGTTCCTTATCTTCAACCAGACCCCTAGTTACAATATTATTTCATAGTTTGTATTTTGACACATGATTTTTTACGGTTATTAGTCTTATTACCCTACTACCAACGTTCCGACTCCGTAAGCGTACATTTTGTTTCATTTGATTTCGTTGTGCTGAATTTGTCTGTTTCAGATTATACACAACGTAATTCCTTTAGGGATTTCAATGGTTTATCTTTCTAGGTAGATCATATTTATGCAAACTGTTCAAAATTAACGATTGAAATGACTATTCATTTTAAAAGTTACTCAGATCTGATTAACAAATTTCGTTTATGCTCTTTTACTATACATACTATTCAATAGACTTGATAATATTTTAGGTAATTGTTGTGTAATGTGTTTTCATGAATGGTAAAATTAAATTTTTGTATGTCACACGACTTGTTCGAAATCGTACACTTTTGTATCTTTAAGATGTTATCTTCACCAGTAAAAACATGCTTCGAATGTATTATCAATGATCATATTAGCCTTAAAATTGTTACAGTTTACGGGTATTTTCTAAACGTTGTCTAATATAAGACAATGTTTATCCAATTTTCTGTTAAATTAATTGATTATAACTTATATAACGTAGTTAAAATGATTAGATTTTCTTGTTGCCTTTAACTCATTAGTATATACTGAATTTTATGTATAGAGTTAGTTTTATATATTTATGTCATAAATCCCATTGTAATTTATATCTTGATCGTTGATTAAATTTTTCATTGATTCTACTGAATTTTATTCATTTGTAAAATAAATCAGTTTCCAATAAAAAGAACATAGTGTAACCAGTTTCAGTTAATAATCATTCTCAAATAATATACGTCTTGGAATAAATATGTATCGATCTAAATTGATGCTCATCGCACACTGGGGGAACAGCTAGAAAATTAAAACCTCTGGTATTTATTGCTTTTCAAGAACATTAAATATTCACTACAATTCTTATAGTGCGAAGCGTTTGCAGGTTGAATAGTGGGAAGTTGAATTACACTACATAACAGCTTTGTCGATTGTATCATAATGGGTACTCATTTTTTTTATCGGTAGTAATCAAACCTTTCGAAAACTTTTTATTATTGTTGGCATACTGATAAATATTTTTCGGTATATATATTTTTTCTCTAGCTTCAAAGAATGCAACAACTAATGAGTAAAATGCAAGAACAGTTAAAACGTAATACCAATGTTGTACCGAACGCATCAATCGGTTTAAATAATGGCACAGGTAATACTCAATCTTCTCCTATTCCTGCAACTGGTCAACAAGCTTCTTGAATACCAAAAAAGTATATAGGTTGTTTAGGATTCAAAATCCTGTTATCACATTTATTTATATCTTATTATTTTGCTTAAAATTCAGTCGATTAGGTCGGAAATATGGTCAATATGATGTGCTAACAATAAATATTTTATCATTTATACTAATAAAACTATTACTTCTTTCTTTCTTTTCTTGAATCCATACAACATTGTCTAATTAAATTGTTTGTGTCTACTTACCGGTTTCATATAATTTTGTTTCAATAAATAAAAAAACTAGACAGAAATTTTTTTTCTTTTTTTTATTGAACTTATCACATTACATATTCTCAGTTTTTTAATTATGTTCGCATTTCATTAAGAATAAAGATAGAAAGAACTGTTAATTTTCACTTCTACTGATGGTATATTGTTTTTTTTCTTAATTATCTCTCTCAATTTTTGCAGTCCAACGTAAAGTTCTTCCTTCTTTTCTGTTTTTAATTAATCCTGAATATGCATTTTATCTTACCTTTATTATAAATCGAATCAATTGATTACTTTCTTTTGATTTTATTCATCTAGTCTGGCTTATTCATGTTTTTTTTTCTTCTTTACTTTATGGTTACAACAATTCCTGTTACACTTTGTTAACCAAAAATTATATTATTTGATGTGAAAAACAAACTTTATATTTTTTATCTGTGTACGCATTTTCATACTTTTTGTTAAATTTTGTCTTTTCACTTCATTTTATTATTTCGTCTAATTACTTAAAAAATGAGGTGAATAAACCATGCCTATCACGATGTCAAATAATTGTCAATGTCCTAAAAATACTTATTGTGCTCAGTTATTTATTTTGTTGTGTCAATTGGGTTACTTTTTCCTCTTTATGTACTTAGCTGTTTAGAATTGACGATGTCGTGTAAAATATTTATGTATGCGTAATGCGTATCTCCCACTTTACTTAATACCTAATTAGGAAAGTGTTGAAAAACTAATTTTTGGTCATTTGTAAGATATTACTGTTTCACCATTTCAAATGTCACCCAAGATTAAAAGTTTCTGTACAATGAGCTCAGCTTATATAATCTCGGTTTTATGAACATCAATTTTTACAATTTCTGCTAATTCAAAAGTAATGTCTACAAATGTAATTACGGTCAAGAAAGATCCTCGGAAACTGAATAGATTATCGTCTCATATTAAAAATACTTCAGAAATAATCCCTAGGATCTTGAAATTAGTATTGCTAACAAACCAACTCAAGAACCTTATTCCAATCTCTTTAGACAAAAAGATATAGAGGCTAAACAGGACGTCGTACTGCTGACTGTAGAGAGGTGTGACAGTAGTAAGGTGTTTCACTCGGGCAACCGGCATGTGCAGCGATGCTGCCTTCTCACAGGTAAGGGTTAGAAAAGGTCGACCTAAAAATGTCACACCCCACGGATTACCATTTTCAAGTTGGTCACGAACAATCATTCCTACACCTAATAACTCATCTGCACGACTAACCCTTCTCACGTTCCTTCATCACCTAGCACCGCTAATGCAAACGATTTGAGTGCGCGGAACGTTATTCCTGGTCTCCTGAAACCGCGCTCTAAACTACATGTAGGAGCTTTTAACGTCCGAACACTGTGCCAAATAGGACAACAGGCTTCCTTAGCGACGACTTTGGAATCTCGCACCATCGATGTGTGCTGCGTCTCCGAAACGCACATACAGCATCCGAGTAGCGTCATTCATCTGACCTCACCATGTCAAAACAAAGAACCAACTCGATTCACACTTCGTGTATCTGGAAGCCCTGATGCTGTTTTCCGTGGCCTCGCTTGTGTAGGTATAGCGTTGAGTCCTAGGACAGAACTAGCTCTCTTAGACTGGATTCCAGTAGATAGTCGTTTGTGCACTGTCTGACTGAACGGAACAGTAAGGAATCGGAAAGAGAGGGACACTCGTCTTTACCTCTTCGTCGTTTCTGTCCACTCTACCACTGACTACAGCTCGGATGATGTAAAAGATGAGCTTTACAGAAAGCTTTCTGACCTTCTCCGAAAAGCTAGGTGCTCTGATGTAGTAATAGTGGCTGGCAACGTTAATGCTCAAGTAGGTAAACTAAGCGAAAGGGAAAGACACCTGGGTAGATCTAACAGCGTCGTGGCTCAAAGAATAGGTAATGGCGACCGTCTGTTGCAGCTATTCTCAGATGACCACCTCTTTCTTGCAAATACCAACTTTAAGCATAAACAAAAACATCTTTTGATATGGCGACCCCCGAATTCGTCCCAACTAGGTCACATCGCTATCAACCACCGATGGAGGTGCTCGATAGAAGACCGTCGCTCATTCTGGAGCACATGCTTAGATTCAGACCATGCTCTAGTGAGAGCGCGTATTTGCTTGCGTCTTACTGGACGTAGGAAAGACGCTGCAAGGAAACCTCTTAGGGGTCTACTTAATGATAGTCAAGCTAAGAGTATATTTCAGGAACAACTAGGAAAACAGTTAGGCAGCCATGTATGTGATGCCCACCCTGAGGCAGCATGGAATGATATCCGAAAAGCTGTGGAAACAGCAGTGATATCTGCTAGTAAGGTAAACCAGAAGGTTAGGGAGCAACACTGGATCTCAGCAGCATCTATCGCGCTGATAGATGCTCGGAAACTCATTCCACCTGGCTCTGAACATAATGAAGAGCGGAGTCAGCTTAAGCGCAAGCTGACAAGAAGTCTACGCAGTGATTGCGAAAGCAAGAGAGATGGAAAAGGCAGCGGCAATAAGTAATAGCAGACAATTGTTCAGACTTGTTAAGGAAACCGACTGTTAGCGAAACACTCTCAGAGAAAGATGGACATATTATTCATTCTCAATCCAGGAGATTGGATCGATGGGCAGAACACTTCAGTGATCAGTTCAACTGGCCATCAGCCACACTTCGGTTTCCCATGATCTCCAGTCAACCTGAATGGTCAGTTAATGTAGGTCCTCCGTCTCTTTACGAAGTTGAAAAAGCCATAGGAAATCTGAAGCGAGAGAGAGCAGCAGGCCCTGACAGGTTTACTCCTGAGATTTTTAAGGATGGTGGTCCAGTATTAGCAGTGAGATTAACTGAGGTCTTGGGTAGAATTTGGGAACTGGACGTAATCCCATCTGACTGGTCTCAATCACCGATTGTGCCAGTCTATAAGAAAGGACAAAAGTCCTCTTGTGACAATCATAGGAATATAATGTCTAAAATATTAGATCCTGTGTGGTGTGTGACGAAATTTCAGCACGGATACAGAAGACTCGCCTAGCTTGCGTCATTTATGGCGTAGGCGAGATATCCGTTTACCAACCAAAGGACGGGTTTACTGCGCAGCATTTCGCTCCGTCCTACTTCATGGCAGTGTACCATGGCCGGTAGGAGTAGAGGATATGCGTAGGTTACTAGTATTTGATCATAGGTGTCTTCGAAATATTGCTCGTATATATCGTGGGCCCATTGAGTAAGTAATGCAGTTGTTAGGAAACGGGTACTAGGTAAGGATGGCAAATCAATTGATGAAGTAGTGAAACTTCAGTTGGGATGGCTGTGACATGTGTTACGTATGCCCAACCACCGACTGCCTTGATGAGCGATGTACATTGGTGTAGGAGTATACTCCTTGAATAACCTTAATCTTCCAGATTACTACTTATACTCTTACAACCTCTACCACTACGGGATTTGAATCGACAATTGTATTTGTGTGCTAATGTGGTATGGCAAATTGAACTGATGTACGTACGTACGTACGATGTTTTACGTTGTTACCTGACTGACTGACACAGTCCACACGGTGTAAAGTTACTTAGACCAGGGACCAAGCTACAACTTGATCGATAAAATACAATCAACGTTAAACCGGCATCTGTCACCTTTTACTGCTAAGTGATTAATTAGTTGCCAACTATTGTTAAATACGGTATGCAGGAATACCTTCTTGGTGCACTTCTTTTTTCTCTCACAATAACGTGCAGTCAAAAAAGCAATGAAAGGTACATATCAGTAATACATTTTGGTAATATTTACCAAGTAAATAGGCGTGGTGATTTTCATTAAGCTTTTGTGAGTAGACCGTCAAGAAATTCTCTCACTTTTCTGTTACCGTATAAAAATTTTAAAAAAACATTACTGACTCAAAGATACAAACATTTCTGAACTTTGTACTTATTGATTTTTTCAACTTTGAGGTAGATATGTGATTGAAATAAAGAAAAATAAAAACAAATCGTAAGTATAACATGGAGCGATAGAAAGAGAAGCAAACAACAAATAAAAGTTAATTAATTTACGTACGTAAAACTCAAAAGGTAATCAGTATTTAATTGCATGTAAATAAAAAGGCGAATAAAGTATAGATTAAAAATTGTCGAGATAAAAATAAATTACAGGACAAATCAACATAATCTGATCAACAAATTCCTAGTTCTTTCATAATTGACAAACAACAGTAATCAATAGCTCATAAATATACGTGAATAAAAACAATCACGACCCTATACATTTTGTACCTTTGGCTGTTGTGTTGTTGTTTGCTGACGATCTGGTTCATGAGTCAAGTGATTTTGTTCTTTTAATTGTGCTTCACTAGCTAATCTTCTTAATTCCTCTTCATTTGTTTCAAACATATCCTCTTCATCTTGAGCAGTCTGAAAAAAAGAAACAGTACACTGTTAAACAGTTATATCATATACATGTTGTTATATAGGTATAATATGTGTTACAAAGGAAATAAAGGGAAATTATACTTCCTAAGACATGGAGGTTAACAAACGTGATTTGAATCAAATACAGACAAGAAATTAATTGCATATTATTCACAACCTTAGATGGTTGTGATTTATATACAAAGAATCAGAAATCAAATGATTTTAGTATGTTGAACAAATGAATTTGGGTATGAAGTATTAAGGGTATGCAGTTTGAACAAAAAATATAAATAATTGGTTATGTTGTCTTCATAAGATTGCTGATATTTGGTGTAATTAATAAGTGAACAACTCTCAGATTCAGTACACAGTTTAGAAATAACAGAAACCAATCGATTAGGATTGTGACCACCATTACGGTGGTCAGACCGTATGTTATGCAAATCTAGTAAGCGAGCAAGGGGTGTATTGCTAATCGTAGACCGATGTTAGCATGATCAGTTGTTTGGAAAACAAAGAAAATAAATTTATCAGTATGGGAATTTGTGGAGATTGTAGTATTTTAGCTGGAATTCTTCGGTCAACAAGTGTTGTAATTCAGGTGCTTTCGCAATCTTTTAGATTTTGTTTTAACAGTTGAAATCAGAGATCGATTAAAGCAAGACCACCATTTGGAACCCGGAAGCACCGGGTGGAAGATTTTTCTTAGTATGAGGCTCCTCAGCAACACGTATTCATTATCCAGTGCATAGGACTCGAACCCAAGGCCTTCGGTCTTACACGTGTACACTTAACTTCTAAAGCACTGAGCCGGCATCCAACAGTGGTAATGTTTGACTTTAATTCATGCGATGATATTAGGTTTTCAATGGTGGTCTAGTTTATATCGACTTGTGAATTCAACTGTTAACATAAATTTAGTCTAACAAATTGTAGAAAAAGATGCAGAAGCACCTGATATGCAGAGCCAACCAGAGGTAGGAAAAAATCAATCGATGGCAATCAGAAGTGGCACAAGGGTCAAGTATACTTCACTGGGGTCAACGGGTCAATTTTCTAAGGGTAGAATGGTATATATTTGTGCATTTTGTTAAATAGTCTAATACACTTTCTCGCTTAAGTAGTCAGTTGGGGGGGGGGGTTAGCGCATGACACATCGTGTATCAGTATCAGATTTCGAACACCGCACTTCACAACAGCACTTGAATTACAACTATTGTTGAACAAACAAGAATTACATTGTAATAAAATGATAAGCTAAAAATACGGATTGTAATACTTTATGACAACATCTTAACGGATACGTGATTTATCAAGGGTAAAATAGTTAATACACAAGAATATCTTTATAGCCAACATTAAACCATAAATTAGACAACCCATTAAACATAGATTTAACAAGAACATGTGA